ACAAAACTTGGCTGTCCAAGTTTTTTGGAAGGAGGAAGAACAGCGAGGCGAGCTCACCTCCACATTCTTTCCAGTCTCCACTAGGTGCCTGCAACCCTCCTGAGTTTGGAGAATTACGGGCAGCTACCTTGGATGGCATGCCTAAACGCATGTCAAACAAACCACCATTCATAAACCTATCATTAAAAATCAATTGGATTTGTGTTGCATAAGCACAGGATGCTTGTAGTCCTAGTGCAAGTCAACAGAACGGTGCTCCTAAAAAGACTGAATTTGCTAATCGATTCTGTGTGTGTTTGCATTGGCGTTTGGAGACACTGACTGGGTTTATATGATCACGGAGGGAAAATAAGCTGCTGTGGCTTATATGGCATTCCTGCGTTTGTTGCCTATTAGCAAAATTTCCCTTGCTAGGCGCAGGTTACATGACTCTGGACCTGGTGAGGATGGAGGGCTGGCTGGGGTGGGTTCCCTCCCACTCTCATCCGTGGTCTGTTCGAGGCATTCAGGCCGGTTTGCAAGCCATTCTCATCACAACAGTCCACGCCTGGAGAGGGTAGATATGCCACGTTCTGTGGCTCATGGCCAGCATATCTGGGGAAGAAAAATAAGCCAGTATTTTGCCATGTGGTCATGTGAACCTACCTATTGGCCTGGTTTACACAATCATGGTGGGTTTAAATGAGCCGCAGTGGCTTGTTGGAGCCTCAGTGCCGGCCGGGCACTGTTCGTCTGATCACCCCCGGGGCATGGCGTATCCAGATCGGGCAGCACCTCTTTTTGCAGGGGCGATCAAGACTTCAATAAGCCCTGCTGATTATGCAAACCAGCCCATGGCGAGTCCTGTCTGTCATCAGGCCGGCCTGTCTGGTCCTACATGGCAGTCCGGAAAAAAGAGAGATCGCAGCATATCAGACTCTTGACAGCACGACCCAAATAAGTTCAGTTTAGCAGCTCTGCGGTTGGTTTTTGGGACAGTGCTGGGAGTTAACTCGGGATATTGAGATAGAAGCATTATTGACTGCAGTTGCTGTGTGAAACTTGAATTTGCAGCTGGAGGGAGCAGAACACCCCCCCCCCGCACACTTCTCTTTAGTCTGCCAGACCTTCCTCCCGCCCCTTCCTTCGCCGCCCTCCTCCTTTCTGTGTGGCTGGAAGTAGCTCTGAGATAGCAGGCATGCCTGAGGGCCGGGCTTGGCCGCCGGCTCCTTCTAGATATTTTGGTCTACAGATCCATCCCTGATCGTTGCTCAAGCAGCTGGGGCTGATGGGTGGGTGCACAGCAGGTGTGGCAGGAGGCAGGCTGCCTGCCGCTGCCTCACCCTTTCCCACCGCCCTCCGTCTGCATCGCTGGGAAAGGCGATTCTGGGGGCTGCCGAGGACCCTTCCCTTTCTGGTGGCATCACGGGAGCACAGTCTCTTGTGGCCGTGCCGCCGGTGCCATCGGTCTTCAGGTTGTACGATGTTCTTTCTGTAAGACAGGAGTTCTCTCAGGAGCGGGATGAGTGCTTGAAGGCAGTCCTGGGAAGATGGAGCGCAGCCTCCTGGCTTGCTTTCGTGTGTTGGCCCGGCCCACTGGAAGACAAAAGCGAGCGGGCTATTGTGTTGACCGAGCTGAGCTCTGAGCCAGAGAGAACTCTTTGTGTCCGTGTGGACTGACCCCGCAGGGGCCGCCCGTCCAAATAGGCATGGCGAATCTCTGGGCAAGCAGGGAGGCTGTGGGAAAAGAAGAGGCACAAGGAAGGACTTTTCTCTGCAGGGGCGGACTCTGGGCGAGACCCCCAAGGCCTCACACCGCCCCTTCGTTGTGGAGCCCTCCCTAGAAAACGCGTTTGTATCATGTTGTGGTGTTCATTGTCTGCCTTGCAGGGCCAGAGGAAGCTGAAATGCCCAGGCGGCCTCTCTTCCGCAGAAGCACAGAACAGGAGGGTTGGAAGGGGCCATGAAGGCCATCTGGTCCACCCCCTGCAGTTGCAGGACACCACCTTACACCACCCCACTCAGAGCTGCCCGGTTTCTTTTTGAACGTCTCTAGCGTGGGAGAGCCTCCGCCTCTCCGGGCAGCTGGAGGGATCAGAGCTGGCAGAGGACTGAAATGCACTTAGATTTCTAGGGTTCTGGGTGCCCTGGATCTTGCAACTCAGTTCCCGTCCAGTTTTGCTTGCTGTCGTCCTGGGATGTTTGGCGGGGGGGTGGGGGGGGTTGCAGAGTTCTAGCCCCCCAGAGGCTTTGCCAGCCAGCTCAGAGCGCTCCCTCAGGCTGCCCTGTTCATTTCTCTGGCTATCTTGTCATGCATTTTCTCTCTCTGGATTGGACTGGGAACTTTCCTAAGAGAAGCTGGGAGCCTTTGTCTCATCCCTGAGTTTTCAGAAATCCACAGCGGTGGGCAGAGTATATACTGCTGTACTATTTTGAATTGGATGTTTGTCCATCGTTTTCGATGAGGACCTTGACATCTAGCAGGTTGTGAGTTGTCCGTGGCGTGTCCGCAGGTGGCCGATAAGGCCGATACGGGCACGGAGTGTTCTGCCGCATGTCAGGCAGACGCGTGGGCACCAGTGTTGCAGCGTTTGCAGCTCTGGCTTTACGGAGCGCTCGCCTCTCTTGTGCTATGTTGAATTTTGAATAGTCTGTTGCTGGCAGGAAATCTCTGCCTAGCCCAGTTCTTCTCAAAGGAACCTTATCTTCTTCCGTGCCTAAGCCTAGTTGTTGTAAAGGTTGTAACAACTTTTATTTTTTTAAGTGTTGCTCTTCAGTGTGGAATTCTTGAAAACTGGAATTTCTCAGTGTCACAGAACGCAGTGTGCTTAACCCTTCCCAGTCAGTGGATTTCTGCAGACCCCCACAGATGTACAAAGTACTTGTAAAGCTTTTCTAGGAAACATGAGCACTTCATGTACTTCCCTAGAATTAGAGGTCAGTTGTCCCCGTGGTGCTTCTTCCCTCCCCCATTAAAGCAAACATTAATTCACTAAGCTCCCTGGCCCAGTGCGCTCCTGATAGGAAAATAAGACTACCAAGCACTGAAAGAAATTGGGGTTCAGTCTTTCCTGAGCAAATTCTTTACCCGGGGAGGGGAGTGGGGATAACCCATTGATGGTTTTGTAAAGTTAGCGTGAGTGTATAGTAATGCTATGTTTGTTTTTAGAAAGAAGCAAAAGTAACAACTCATGTCCCAGTTGTAAAGAAAAATACTTACACAGCATTCTAGAGGTTCATTGGATTCCAGGAATAACTTTTACACCAGGGAATTAATTCTGTGCCAAGTTGGCAAACTTGTAACAGGGATCTCTGATTAGTAATGGATTTAGCACCCCTGCTTGGGCTGCACTGGGGCCCCTCCTGTACTCGAGGTCTGGTCTTTCACCCTGGCATTTGTTTCCACTGGTGAAGTTGATGGACCCAGTGTAACTCTGTGGTTGTTTTGTGCTGGACTGCATTTTTAACATCATAAAAGCCACTTTTAATGTTCGACTGGAGTAATTTTGACAACAAATCATTGTTGTCCTCTTTGTTTCCAGCTAGGACTTTAAAAGGCTCTCTCAGATTAATATTGTCCAAAAAGTAGTCCTCAGGCTTAAGCCTAAAGAGGAGACAGAACGGGGCCTGCGTTGAATTCCAGAGGGGCCCTGCTCACTTGTGCCGGATGCTTCCCTGAACCTTATGAATCTGCAGCAGCTGCCCGTCCATTTGGTGGAGCATTTGTGATGAGCAAGGGCGTCATCAAGAAAACTCTGGGGAGCAAGGGCCAGTCTGAATGAGGAATCTTTTTTTGATCTTCAGGCAATGCCCATCTTCTTAGCTGAAGGAAGGCGGAGGAGACTGCTGGCTGGAAAGAAGGAAGCTGCAGTCAAGGAGAAAGAGGGACCCAGTGATGAGGAAAGAAGCCACCTTCTTGCTGGGTTTTCCTCGGCTCCGTGTCTTTTCCCCTTCAGTCCTCTGCCCCCTCATCTGCCATTTCCTCTGTTTCCTTCCTTCCTGCCAGCCAGCCAGCCAGCTGCCTCTTCGGCATCCCTTCTCTTCGGCTAGTTGCAGCTTGACTTCCTGTCTCCTTGTCCTAAAGCAGGGGCAGGAACCAGCTTGAAATGGTTGGATTGCAACTCTCCACAAATGTATCGGGGCAGCGACCATAAAATACAGCAGCCTAATATTTTAAATGCAGCAGCAAAAGCGACACAGTGCAAGTAATTAGCAGTGAAAGTGCACACTTTACTGTATACCACAAACCGTCGCTGGCTGCATCGCACCTCCAGGAAAGCCTCTGGAAAGAAACTGGTTTGGAGACGATGGCGCGGTGCTCCAGCGGGTGGGTTCGCGGCACGAAATGCTCCGCTGCAGGTGCTGCTGAAGCGGATCTCCAGAGCATGTGGTCCCCAGTCCCCTGAGAGTTTGTGCTGACGATCACAGAGGTCAGGCAGGGACGTAGAGGGCGAGGCAGCCCCTGTGCTCCCAGCCGGGCCACCGTAGTAGTACGGGCTCATGGGAGCTAAACTGGCCCCATCTTCCCCACACCCTGGCCTGCAGGCACCTGGGAGCAGCAGGCTGCTTGTACAGTTGGCAGCGAAGGGAGAGATGAGCCACGGGGCCTTTGAAGGCTCCGAGGGGAGAGCTGGGAAGGCACATGACTTGGGAGGGGAGGGCCAAATGAATCCGCGGCCGCCACGCACTGATTCCACAGGCAATGAGTCATGTCTCCAGCTCCTCGGAGCCGGGGGCGGGGCAGGGGGCGAGTGTCCGTCTTGGCAGCTCGTTTGCAGGACGAGGCCTGCCCGGTTGCATTCCGTTGAATCCCAGCCGGGTCCTGGTGCTGGTATTGCGGTTTCTGGATGTACCAGAAAATGGTGGACTCGGAGCTCCTCCGGGCACGTTCCCCAGCTGATTTCGCACGGCACCAGCACGAGACTCGTGGCATCTTGTAAAAATCATCAGCCCAGTGAGCAGAGCACTCGTAAACTCCTTTTCCATCTCAGGGAAGGGGCGGCAGTGAAATACCGGAGAAATGCCCATGAGGGTCCCCACGGCGGCTGAAAGGGCGGCAGGGTCAGTGCTCCTGGCTCAGGACGGACTAACGGCCGCCCCTCTTCCAGGTTCTCCAGGGCAGCGGCACCATGGTTGTGGCCGCTCGGCAAGGCGTCCTGTACCTCTGCCTGTGGGCTCTCTGTGTCCTGAGCAAGCCCACCGAGAAGAAGGACCGCGTGCACCACGACCCTCAGCTGAGTGACAAGGTCCATGACGATGCCGAGAATTTTGACTATGACCACGATGCCTTCCTGGGAGCGGAGGAGGCCAAGACTTTCGACCAGCTGACTCCGGAGGAGAGCAAGGAGAGGCTGGGGTGAGTGAGTGCGGTGAGGCTGGGCAGACCCCCGTGCTGCCACATGAGGCTCCTGGAGCTTCCTCACCTTGCGGGGCCTGATGGGGGTTTAAGGCCTCAGCGGCCCTGGCAGCAACCTGCTCCTGGGGAGCTCGGTTGCACCCCCAGTGCAGTGCCCGAGCAGAGGCGGTTGCCTTTTCTTCCGTGTTGGACAATGCTGCGTGTCTGCAGCTGAAAGAGGCGCAGCACATTCCCCAGTCCTGCAGGGAGGGGCGGCCTCGCCAGAGCTCCCGAGTTAAGCCGGCAGTCCGGCCTCTGGACAGGCTGGCGGTCAGATACGAGCCATCCGGCTCAGAAGTAGCCCCGCTTAATGTACGGGGCTTACTCCTCAGTCTCATGCACAGGGCTGTGGCCCTGGCGTGGCGCATCCGGTTGCGTGTGTGTCTGGTGGCTCGATGGCTGTAGCAGAATTCCAGCACCTGCCGAGGTCCGAGCAGTTGCGCACCTGAACGGGTATGCAGGCAGACTCGGCTGCGGCCCTGGGGTCCATACCGAGGGTGGCAAGCAGGGCTCCGAACGCAGCCGCCTCCGTTTTGTGGCATCTGCTTGAATTAGCTCCAGCGGAAGCCTGTGACCTTGATGGGGCCCAGTGGCTGCAGCGGGAAGCCCCCCCCCCCCAGCTCCCCAGCCCCATGGCCAAGTGTCGAGTAGCAGTCGGGACAGCTGTGGTTATATTTGGCCTGCGTGCTGCCGGTGCCGGCTGGAAGGCTTCTCGTGAGGAGCGCAGCCCCTGCGCGCCTGACCTGCCCCCAGAACTGTCACCTCGACCCACAAGAGTCTGGAGACTGGTCTCCTTCTGGAGGTCTCTGCAGAGGCAGTCAGGTTTGCTCCTTGTGTAGCACCGACTGACTTGATACGAGAGATTGATCAAGGCCTCTCGTACCGTCTGGCAGGTGTGCTTAAGCACTGCCAGCTTTTGAAGGCTCAGGCAAGAAGAAGGGGGTGCAGGGGGGCTTCAGAACCAGCGGGCATCCCCTGGTACAGAACCCTCTCCGGGGCCCGGTGTGGTCAGGCAGTGCCGCACATGCAGCAGAACCGGGCCGCCATGAGTCACAGGCCGCCTCCTGTGCCGGCCCCAGGACTGGCCGAGTCGCGCCCGGTGCGCCTGCCCCTCGGGCCGCCACTGCTGCGGAAGTGGTGGCAGGCCGGCTCGGGATGCGCTGGGGGTCTTGGGCCCCACCTAGAACTGCCAGCTTGCTTGACCTTTCCCGCCAGGTTGGGTTTCAGTGGATGGAAGCGCAGGATGGAGAAGGGGAGGGAGAAGGCACGGCCCTCTGGCCCTGCGGAGGAGCTTGCCTGCCTGCGGGTCGCTTGGCAAGAGAGGGAGGGACGCTGGAAGCAGAGCGTGCCTCACGCGGCCCAGGCGCCATTGCTCAAAGGTCACCGGCAGCCAGCTCACAGGAAAGAAAGCTAGGCTCTTAACTCAAAGTGCCCCCCCTCCGTGCGCTTGGCCGCTTGACATCCCTCTTCCCTGGCTTCCCTGCCCCCCCTTGCCCTCCTCCAGGGCTTTCCTCTTCCTGCCCTGCCCAGCTGATTCGCAGGGGCAGGGGCGGCTTGCGGAGCACAGAGAGGGAGGCAACTCAGGAGCTCCTGAGACTGGGGCTGTGAATTGCAAGTGAACATTTAATTACCTAATTACGCCAAGCGACAGGTTGCCTCTTGCTGGTTGTGCCGAGGCGCTGAGCTGACGCTGCGAATGTGGTGCGGGTGGGGTGCCTGTGAGGGCCAAGTCCCGCCTAACCTGTTGTGGAGCCGAGAGGTCAAAGGCAGCCCCTTGAATGGGGCCCGGACGACCGTGTGGTGGCTGATCTCCAGGAAAGCTGCCCCTCTCGCAGCGGTTGCTCAGCGGAACTGCCGAGGGCCAGGCCTCCGTCTGCTCCTCTGCAGCACAGAAGGGGGTGAAAGGGCTGTTTCGGGGGTGCCCCCAAGCACTCCGGACACCCATGTGCCCCGGCCACACGTGCACGGCCCCACCGGGTGGGGTGCTGTTTTGTTTAACTCTTGCTGGCTTTTTCTGCATTTCCCACAGAAAGATTGTAAGTAAGATAGATGAAGACAAGGACGGGTTTGTAACTGCCGAAGAGCTAAAAGCCTGGATTAAGTTTGCCCAAAAGCGCTGGATTTACGAGGATGTAGAGCGGCAGTGGAAGGGGCACGACCTCAATGAGGACGGGCTCATTTCCTGGGACGAATATAGAAATGCCACCTACGGCTACATCCTAGGTAGGTCGCGCTGTGGGCAGCGAGCCTCGTGGGGCAGGCGCCTTGAAACTTGCTGTTTTGTCTTGTAGAGTGATTGTAGATAAAATAGACACGGATAAGGATGGGGTTGTGACCGAGGGGGAGCTGAAGGCCTGGATTAAGAAGGCGCAGAAGAAGTACGTGCTTGACAATGTAGCTCACCAGTGGCAGGAGTATGACATGAACCGAGATGGCTCAATCTCCTGGGATGAGTACAGGAACGTGACCTATGGCAATTACCTGGGTAAGGGGCCAGGCGCCGGAGCGGCAGAAGCGTGGTCGCCACTCAGTAAAGCAGAAGCCGGGGCCCGCGCGGGCGAGGGAGGGCTGGCCCGCGGGGGGGGGGCGGGGGGCCATGCGTCCCGCCGAGGGGACCCTGTGCGGCGCCCCATTGTGGAGCTGCCCCGGGAGCCGGACGGCCTGAGGCGCATCCGTGCGCGTGCCCGCGCAGGGGCACTCCCGGAACCGGGCCAGGGATGTCGCTTGGGGCTTCTGCTTTACTGGTGCCTGAATGAAATGTCACGGACGGGTCTGCACCGTCGTTCTGTCTCATGCTGGCCCTCTGTCACCGTGGCTGTTTCTGGGCTCCTCGAGCCCTTCGTTGCAGTCTTCCCCAACCTGGCGCCCTCCAGTGCCGTCGGAGCACAGCTCCCATCATGCCCCAGCCCGGGGGAATCGTAGACCAGAGTATCTGCGGGGCACCGGGCTGGGGAAGGGGGTGAGGAAAGTCCTCTGGGCAGGCAGGAGCAACTCTGTGGCTGGGCCGTCGCCTGACAGCAAAGCTTCGTGGCTGTGAGGGGCGCGCATGACTTGGGGGGCGAAGGCACTTTCACACACACGCACACACGCATGCGTGCGTGCCCGAAAGATCCCCCTGCCCGAGCACGCTGGGGCACCTGGCTGCAGCGCCCCTTTGCCTTCCCAGGCCTTTTCTGTGGCCGTCATAGGACGTCCGTGCAGAGCAGGTCAGTGGCGTTTTCCCCAAGGCCCAATAGCGAGCAGGTTTTAAAAGCCGCATCTGGACTGAAGGTGCCGGCCGATTCTGGGGCTGAGCCGGTCGCATGGCCCGTGCCGCCCGGCTGACCGTGCTCTCGCGTGTTAGTGATGCCCGCCTGGCAGCTCACGCGTCACGCGTCCAGCGTGATGTGAGCAGGGGACGGAGGCCAGGCCCCATGCCCACAGCCGCCACGTTCACGGACCTGTGGGCAAAACGGAGGCTCCGTGCTACGGGGAAGGGCTGTATTTCCATAGGCCACAACCGTTGGGGATTTACTGCACCTTTTGTAAAGCGTGAGTGGGGGGCACCTCCTGCAGGCCTGGAAGAAAATTGCTGCCCCCCTCCCCTCCCCTCCCGCTGAGGAGATGCAGCCATCAGGCAAGAGGGGGAAGCGGGGACTCTGCCTCCCAACTAGGCATCCACTTCCCGCGTGCCTCGCTTTAAAGGGAAATTGTCCTTTTTTCCCTGCTGCAGGTTCTGTGGCGGTAGGGCACCAAAAACCCCAGACGGGGTGGCTGCAGGCTCCCCAGCCCTGTGCCTTCCTTTGAATTGAGTGGAAATAGCCGTTCCTGCTTAGCTGGCACTTTCTGACTCTGTGCAGCAACGGCTGGGAGATGTGCCGGCCCAGTTTTATTGCAGCATCAACTTGCTCACTTCCTGCTCATCGCTCAGCCTTTGTTTTGATGCAAATACAGAAGTTGTATTCTCTTGAGTCAACACAGCAGCTTGTTTCAAACTGAGCAGTTGCTTTGCTCAAAAAAAGCCTGGAATGGGAAGTGGCCAGACCACATGGGTCTTGTTCCTTGGCACCCCGATTCCCAGACAGCCCTTCCCTTCTGGGAGGAGGAGGGGATCGCCTCGCGGCTGCAGGGGCCCACGGGGCTCCCGTGATGCTGGTGCTCCTGCGACTGGGAGGAGGGCCGGCTGCTTGCCGCGCTTGCTGGTGGGCAGTGGGCTGTTCCTGCGGCGAGCTGAGGCCTAGCAGGAGGTGCAGCTGGACTGGGGCCGCCGCATGGCCTGGCCCCCCAGGCCCCCTCCCATCAGCCCTCGTCAGCGTAGTCCATGGGGAAGGATCGTGGGAGTGGAGGCAAACGGGCCACGAGGCGCCTGCCACGTCTTTGTGCCCCCTGCCTCCGAGCAGGAACGCCCTGGGGCTGGCGGGACCCATAAGGTGGTGCCGGGCTCCCCTGCACCCCCCACGCCCCAGCCACGGTGCCTTTCCCGGGCGTGAGACCCGTGGGCGCGTCCGTGGAGCTGGGCCCGCAGCCGCAGGGACGGCAGGACGGTTGTGGCCCGGAAGGTGACCGCCCGGGTCTTAACTGGACGCGATCGTTGTCTTGCCGCCTAGACGACCCCGACCCCGACGATGGCTTTAATTACAAGCAGATGATGGTGAGAGACGAGCGGAGGTTCAAAATGGCCGACAAGGATGGCGACCTGATCGCCACCAAGGAGGAGTTCACGGCCTTCCTGCACCCGGAGGAGTACGACTACATGAAGGACATCGTTGTGCAGGCGAGTGCCGCCGTCCCCGGACCGGGCGAGGGGGGTGCTGCTCAGGCAGGGAGGCGGGCGCGGTGCCCTTGTCCGCTCGACCCTGTCCCCGGGACCCCAGCCTCAAAAGCCTCTGGCGCGAGCGAGCGTGGCGCTGCCTCCAAACCACATCCTGGCGGCAGAAAGGAGGCTTTGGATTGGGACTGGGCGCATGGGCAGGGCTCTGGGCACGGGGGCCTTGTGCCCCTTCTCGGCTGCCGGGGGTCTCGCAGGTGTTCTCGCGTAAGTCGCCCCCCCCCCCCGGACGTGGCTCTTTATCCACTTGTCTTCAGTCTGTGGGTGAAAAAGGACCCTGCGGTTGCACACGAGTAAGCTGGCTGCTCACCCTGATTTTCTCCCCAGGAGACGATGGAGGACATCGACAAGAACGGGGACGGCTTCATTGACTTGGAAGAATATATCGGTGAGTGCCGGGCGTGGCCCCTCCCCTTTCTCCCTAGCCGGTGTCCCGCTGTCCGTCAGCGGGCCGCTTGCTCGTGCCGGCTGGGCACTCGCGTGGCTGGGGTTCGCCGGAGTGCCTGGAGAAGGGCCCCCCTCCCTCCCCCTTGCTGGGACGAGAGCTGAACTGGAGTGCCCCCCCGGATCCCCCCCAGCCGAGTCGCAGAACGATGCGGCCCGCGGCACCCTCTGTCCCGCCCCTGCTCATCTGCCAGCCTGAGACGCGCCACCCCTGGCCAGCCGTGCCCTCCTGCCCGCGGGTGGCTCTGCGTGGAAGGACGTGTGGCGCAGCTCGGAGCGCAGCACGGCATCGCTCAGACACCGCCAGGAGAACAGTTCGGCCGGGGGTGCTGGAGGAACCCCCCCCCCGCTCGTTTCTGGCCCAGATGTATCCAGCTCACGCCTCAGAGGTCAAAGGCAGACTCGGTTGCCGTCCCTGGTTGAAGTCCGTGCGTTTTCAAGCTTGCAGTGTGATTTGTGGACCGACAACGTGTGCTTGGCGGCATGGCCTCGTTTGAAAAATGCACATGACAAGTGTATCTTTTGGGAAAAGGCACATGTGCGCACCTTTTAGTCACTGCAGGAAGAATGTACATTTCAAAGATGCGCACAGTGGATATGTATGTTTGGGAAAACACGCATGAAATTGCAAATAGCGAAGCAGACAGCGCTCGAAAGGTTAAACGTGCTTCAAGGTGGGAATTGGAGAGCTTCGGCCTGCAGCTTTGCTTCTGTGCCCCGACGGCAGCTTCCCAGGACACTGCGATTGAGCGTCAGGGGCCCACAAAGGAATTTCAAAGGTCGAGCCCAGCGCAAAATGGCTGAAGCACGGTCCCGTTCTCTCTCCTGTGGTTTGAGTAAGCACTGCGTTCTCCTTTTGCCTCGCTGGCCTCGGGGGCCGTCATGTGCCATCCCCTTTCTTCGCGAGCCCCGACAGGCTTTCATCAAGTGTGCGGCTGCAGAAACACGACAGATGGAACTGGGGCGACAGCGACAGCTGCGTGTGGCAGAGGATCAGCGCTGTGCCCCAGGTTCAGGAGGCGATACGCCGCGCCTCTCCCGGCCACGGTCTCTCTCATTCTTAGACCATGCTGGCAAGTACGGTCCGTTTTGGGATCAGGCCACCTGAAACCTGAGCGAGCCAGAGGAGGGCATGCACACACCTTCCCTCCGCTGGCTGCCGCTCCCCTTCCCGGGCAGGGTCCCCGAGGGCCGCTCGGGGCCCAGACCATCCTTGCGGCGCTGGCCTGCGGCTTGCCCAGAGCCCTGCCTCGGGTCGCGCTTGCAGTGCCCCGGCTCCGTCGGCTGAGCAGCTCTGGCTGCGCTTGCAGCACCCTGGAGGCAGGCGGCTGGCCGAGGACAGCCAGGGGGGCTTGGCCTGCCCAGGCCCTCCGTGTCGGGGAGGCCCCCGCGCCGGTGGCCTGGAGACGTCCTCACCCCGACCACAGCAGGCCGTTTCCTGCTGCCACCCACCGCTGCCCCGCTCCGGGATTGCTTGTTTTGCTGTCGCCAAAGCCTCAGAGCAGCTGGGTCGGTTGAAACTGTACGAAGCGTTGAGCCGGGTGGCCACCGCCTTTCGCGTCTGATCCGGCGTGTTCTCCCGCCCCCTCAGGTGACATGTACAGCCATGACGGTGATGCAGAAGAACCCGAATGGGTGAAGACAGAGCGGGAGCAGTTTGTGGAGTTCCGGGACAAGAACCACGACGGGAAGATGGACAAGGAGGAGACCAAGGACTGGATCCTCCCCTCGGACTACGACCACGCCGAGGCGGAGGCGCGGCACCTCGTCTATGAGTCGGATCAGGACAAGGTGAGCCCCGGTTTGCGTGCCACGAGGCCATGCCGAGGCCGAGGGCTCGGCAGCCGCTCTGGCCACGAAGCACCCGGTTGAGCGGGCCCGTCGCCGGCTCGCGGCCTCACCCCCTCGACTGGGGGCGGAAGGCCAGCCTGGGGGGCCTGGGTTCTTTCACCTGAGCTTGCCCAGGACAGGAGGGATTCCTTCCGGGCATGCCCAGCATTTGGAGGAATTTCCCTTTCGGGTCCTCCTTGGAATTCACATGCCACCCTCCCCCGTGGCCCCTGCCCACCCTGAGCCCAGCCCTCTCTTGGCCCGTTGGTGCTGGGGTCTTGCTGGGGCCGGGGCCTGTTGCTTCAGTGCCAGCATACCTGCTGGGAAAGGAGCATCTGGATCGGGCCCTGCTGACATGGAGGAGGCCCGGGCATGGGCACCGCTCCCATCCCTTGGCCAGGACTTGGCCTGGGAAGCCTCCCGAGGGACTGTGCCCGGATCACCGGCCGTCCCCCGGCTGAAGCACCGTCCGCGACGCAGGGACCTGCACGTTCCCTGCCCGGGCGGCTGGCTGCGAGTGCGGGAGCCGTGGCGGCGCATTGTGGCGGTCCGGGCACTCACCTGCAGCCCCTCCCGCCCCTCCTCTAGGACGGCAAGCTCACCAAAGAAGAAATCGTGGACAAGTATGACCTGTTTGTAGGCAGCCAAGCTACAGACTTTGGTGAAGCATTAGTACGGCACGACGAGTTCTAAGCCTCCGGACCCTTTTTCGTAAGGAAGAAAGTAATTATTTTTTACGGTTTCTGGAGTAACACGAACTCTCACTACCGAGACTGACGGTTTCCGGCAACAATGTGGGGAAAACCTCCTGCTCCTACTTCCTTTCTTTCTCCGTAGGGACGGGAGCACATTGTTCTGGAAAGCAACTCTCAGTCGCAACACTTGGGTTTTATTGTTTTATAGATTTGCATGTTGTTTTATGTCTAACAAGTTCTGTTTATTTTTGTATTTTTGTTGCGCATGAGGTGAAGAATGCATATCCTGACGCATTAGCCCTGGAGAGCACCAGCTCCCTGACAGGCACCCCCCCCCCCCAATTCCCTTGTGTTCAGCCACAAATCGCCAGAGAACAAGGAGGGCCAAGGAGAACAAAAGGCCTGTGGAGCATGGGTTTTGCTTTTGGCGGTCAAGAGGGGTGCCACAGAGGATTTCGCCAGCACACCGGTCCGGTGTAGCTGTTCCGTTTCCGACGTGGTGCTTCTCCCCGCCATCTCCCCTCCACTGCCGAACGGTCGGGGAGGTTTGGCTCCGGCTGAGCGTCTGGCACCGTTCCGTGACGGGAGGTGCAGCACCAGCGTTTCCCACCGCACTGCTCCGGGGCTGCCCGTGTCCTGGCACGCAGTGCCGCCACACCGCTGCGAGTGGTATCCCTTCCAGGGGCCATTTTGGGCAGGGACGGGAGTGGTGTGACCCGTGCCGCTACCCCTCCTCCAGGGCATTTCCGCCCGCCCGTTCTCTGATCGAAAACCGCTGCTCTGCCCTGGAGCTTGAAGCTGGGAGGACGGGGTGGCTGGGCTGGGCGGCCTGCCAGGGACCGCAAGCGCCCGGCCCCCACCGGGTTCCTCAAGCTGGGTGGGCATCGAGAAATAGCGGGGCAGGAACATCCCATCTGGAAATCCTGCATGCTTGAAGTGCCTTTCTCTTTGAATAAAGAAATATCGGGGTTCCCAGCTGAAGGGGCCCCCCAGGCAAGATTGTGCCCAGAAAAACGGGAGGCCGCAGTCCTCCTGCGATGCGCACGGGGTGGATCTATCAGCAGTGCAGTATTCAAGGCCTCCCTGAGCAGCGTGGCGGACCTCGTGGTGGGCCTTGAGCCTCCGGCTGCCTGGTCTGTCGGGAAGGACTTCATCTTTACCTCAAAAGGCAAGCCCTGCCCTCAGCTGCTCTCTGGTCCCAGGAGATCACGTGGCCGGTTTGGCTCTCCTCTCCTGTCTTCTGTATTTGAGGGCCCGGATCCGGAGGGCCGCTGCCGTCCCCCTCAAATCGCCCCGCTCAATGCTCGTCTGGGGCATTTGGGCTCTGTGCTGGGGCAGAGTGGAAGGACAGGTGCTTTTTTCTGCAGCCTTTTGGGATCCAGCCCGCCAGGAACTGTTCCCACTGCAGCCAGCAAAATGAACCACGATCCGTATTTCTGTAATTTATCAGTAAGGCAGGGCGGGAGCTGTTTCCTGGGGCTTGTGCCTGTCGGGGGCCTCTTTGCATTGGCCCCCTGAAGCCGTCCCCTCCCTCTGGCCCACTCGCCTTGAAAATCAAGGCCCTTTTAGTAAGATTTTCTGTTTCCTTTGGACTCCAATGACTTCAAGGGTTAAATGCTTGAAACACTAGCTACTCCTGTTCATTTCACAGAGCATTTTAAACATAACTTGATGCAAGGAATAGGAAAGTCGCTTTTGTCCGTAAAGACCTAGTGCCAGCCAGTCTTCCTAACCGTGTGTGTAGCGCAGCTCTCAGGCCTGAGCTTTCTGTCAGAGGTGGCTTAGTGGAATGGGGCCACGTTTCCCTCCCGAACAAGGAGCCAGCCAGCGGGGAGGTGACCCACCTGCAGCCGGCCAGTCCTCTTGGGCTCGCACCGGAGAACTGAGGCAGGGTGCGTGGGGAGAGCTCCTGGGCCAGTGCGAAGAGCTGGGCGGCTGAAGGGACTGTGGGGGCTGCCCTTGTCCTTGGCCGCCGCTGCTCCGTGAGTACTAAAGGCCCGCTTTGCTCTCAGGCCGGGGCACCGCCTGTCCCCACACGGAGCCCGGGCCGGGGGCCTGCAGGGCGGCCGCTGCTGCTCCTGCTCGTTTGTGGTCATTCTTGGCGGAGCTGCTTTCGGGGTCCTGGCCCTGCACTTCTCTGTTTTAAGAACCGGAGTTGGAGGCCATTGTCATGCCAGGCAGGTGTGTGTGATACCCGCCCCGCCGCCAAAAAGGAAAAGACAATTCGGAGCCGTTTGCCAGTGGAGACCTCTCTGCACCGGGATTTCCCGCAGTGTGTGTCTGGTTTCAGTCGGCTGGTGTGTTTCTCTTTTGCACAATCTCCTAATTATCAAAGCAGATGTAAAGCTGGTGGTGAAATAAACCCAAACCACATGCCCCAAAGCTCTTTGTGCCCCACCTTTTAGGAGTTCTTTTTTTTTTTTTTTTTGGTAGAGCATAAATGGTTTTATATAATGTACAACATACAGATAAAATGGTGTCTTAATAAAACTGTTTACATCCCTCTGTGTATATTCAGTTGCGTGCGTGCGTGTGCACATGTGTTTGGTTTCTGCCATTTGCCCTCAGATCCTGGCTTGGGCTTCGGTCAAGAACCTGGAAGGAGGCCTGCTGGACCAGACTGTTGCGGGGGGGGGGGGCACCTTGTGCACCGCCTTCCCAGCACATGGTGGGCACGTCGTGAGCGGAGCCGGCTGGTGCCGGAGGTCAGACTAGATGGCTCGGGAAGCCCCCTCTGACTCGCTCTGTTTCTGTGTGTTGGAGCGCAACTTCCGTCCTGCTTGGAATGATGGGAACGGCAGTCCCGCACAGGTTCTTGCACAGGTCACGCAGCATCCTCAGCCAGAGTGGCCACCCAGGTGCATCCAGGCAAGGCGGCAGGCCAGGCAAGAAGGTGCTCGCCTGCAGAGTGCCTCTCCTGGCAGTTGGTCGCCTTAAACCTGCCACGGCGCCCAGGTACTGATTTGCCTCTGCTCTCCAGGTGTACCTGGCCCCCTTTAAAGCCAGGTAATCTTGCGGTTGCATCTCATGCCCGTGGGAGCCCATCAGTTACTGGTCTGCTGGTTGAAGTACTTTCTATCATCTCAGAATATTAGGCAGCTGAAAGCACAGTCCTTTGCATGTTAAAACAAAAAAGGGCTACCATGCCCAGCATGTCCCAGCTGGAAGCTTTTTTCAGTCTAAGCAGGGATAGGTTTGCACTCGAAGTAGCCTAAAGTTACGTTCGGAGAGGGACGAAAATGGCTCTCCACTCGATTTACATTCACAATTTTAAGCAGAATTTCCTTCCCTTTTTTCAGGGATTTTTTCCTCTAACTGGTTTAGTGGGAGTTAGGTGACACTGCCTATATTGTGCTGGTCTTTGGGGTAATGAAGTTTTAATTCTCCAGTGCTTACTGGATTGCTCTGAGCAGAGTTTGAGCATGGGCAGCAACCTGGTAGCTCAAAGTCTAAATGAGACCCCAAAGTAATTATTGGTCCACAATAAGCCCGCCTCATTTGCATCGTATCTGAGGAGAGAATGTGTCTGGGAGGCACTGGGGGAGATTCCTCAGACTGCTGCGGATCGCATCCCGCTATGTCACGCGAGCCCATCCTGAGCACAGGCTGGTCTGACCCGAGACAGAGCAGTGGTGGGAGGGAGCCCTTCAAAGCCCCGTTTTACTCAGGGTCTGGGCCAGGACGCAGCCGCCTGGAGATGCTTCAAGGGGGAAGAGAAGCTTGCCTGAAAGAAGCGGCAGGTGTGCCCACCGGGGCAGCCGTGGGGAGTCTGAGAGGAGGAGAAGTTGATTCCACAAGCTGATAAACCAGCGAGTTGTTTGTATGTTCTGCTGTGAAGGGCAGCGTCCCCAGGCCGTCTGCAGGCGTCCCCCACCGGATGCCCACCGGGTGTGCCGAACTAGAACCCCTAATCCCCCAACCAGGGGTGCCCCAGTCATGCGCTGGGGCCGGTGGGAGGGAGGGCTGGTCTGTGGGTCACAAGCCCTTTAATCCCAGCTGCTGGGTGGCTGCAACATGCAAAGCAGGTGGCCAAGCACTGGACACCTTGTGAAGGACTGAGGACTGCTCATCAAGCATTTCTTTGCACAGGAACGTGGGATTTGATTTATTCCAGAGTCTTCTTGCTCCTAATTCTTAACAAAAATAAACGGAAAGTTGGATACACAAGCTTTGGCAGGTTCTGCTTGAATTACATGTGTTTTGGACACTTAAAAAAGAAAAGCTTTCGGAGACTGAGGGCTCATCCATCTTTAGCATGTTCATCCAGGGCACCAGAATTATAATAGGGCATTTGGTTTTGCCATATATACCTTTGTGGGTTTGAGAGGCTGCTCTTGGCCAAACCAGTACATGTAAATTTCCAGATCTTACGTCAGCTGGGATGTACACTTCTGGGAATCAGAGCCCAAAGTATGGGTTGAATACAGATGGTTGTTGACGTGTAGGTTGTCATTACATGTAATCCCGCCACTATGGTTTAACTATGGCTTATTAACCACAGACAACCCTAGATGGGGTTATTGCAGGATTGTGAACTTTGGGTTGTATATGGCTAATGTGCAAGCCATGTTTGTGGTTAACACAAGCTGGTGCTTAGCACACTCTGGGTTGTTCCTGCTAAACCAGTTCCATGTCCTGAATTTTGCTACTGACACCCCCGCGTTGGAATTTCAGCTGTTCAACACAGCACTGCTGGTGGATGTTGTACTGAGGCCCATTTACAAGCTAACTTCATCATTCCTTTTTCTTCAGTACTGTTTCTATATTGTTGCTTCAAAATAAAGTTACCAGTCCTCATGTTCATAGCTTTAAATGTGCTGCCAGCGACTGCAAAATAGCTGAACACCCAACGGGGCGCCCCGGGCCAGTCTGAGCCACCTTCGGCAGGCCGGCTGCACCGCGGGCCGCGGTCTTTACGACGTTTGCTTCCCTCCGGTTTGTATTTCTTCGGCCCAGCCAACCCACTGCCTAGCACCCTCCACCATCGTCAGCCGCCTCTTGGATTTCCGCTTCCATGTTGCAGCTCCCCCTTTGCGGCACCGACCCCTGAAGGGGTTCAAGCAGAATCGCCTCTGACAGCGCCTTAGGCGGCTTCCCAATCCGGAGCAAAAGCGACCCTTTGTGCAACGGGGTCATTCTGTGGCCAAAGAAAGGTTGGGCCAGAGGTCCCAGGAAGCGAATCTGAGGGGGGCCAAAGGATCACCGAGTTCCCCGGCGCAGCCCCTGCGGATTTTCCCGGCAGGCAGCTTGTGTCCTGCCTTCTCGAACAGTCCTCTCAGTCTTTGATCGAGCCAGTCCGTTGCAGCCCTGGAAAGCTACGAGACCAAATTAACTGGAGATTTGAGTCCCGGGCCGTGGCCCTCCGAGCCACGGCACCCATGCGGTTCCTTCTCCCTTTGGGCATCGTGGCTGTGGCGGGGAGGCACGGGGGGTATTTCTCTGCCCCTCGGGACCCCACAGCATGTCTCCTTAGCTGGGGCTAACCTGGCTGGAGGACACGGAGGAAACCTCGGTTTTCTGGGCAGAGCTGGACACGTCGGACTCGTCCGTCATCGGTTTGCCGCACACAGTTTCCATGATGCAAGCCCGGAACTGGTTGGGGAGGGGAGAGAGGCCTTTCAGATCTGCCGGGAGTCCTGGCAAGGTGGGGTGGGGGTCAGAGGTCACCACATCCAGACACCTGGTGGGCAACCTGAGCTCGGGGTGGCCGGAGGGATGCCGGCAGCTTGCCCATGTGGCTCCTTTTGAGCGGCTCGAGAGGCCGGCCTTGGTCTGAAGATCGCCGGGTCTCCTCAGCCCAGTAGAGGATGGGGGAAGGGGCTAAACCCCCATTCCAGACGGGTGGAATGTGCCAGGGAGGGGCTTCCAGCCGCAGCAGCGCCCTGGGCACCGTCACAAATTACCAGGTTTTTCTTTTAATCCCCTCCTCTGAATTTTCACTTTTCTTGACCCCTCCCTCTGCTCGCTCCCCAGCCTGTTTTGGCAGGGTGGGGGTATTTATTAGGATATTTTTATCCCATTGTATACCAGTCATCTCTGGATGGCTTACAATATAATAAATACCAATCATTCTGAGAAGATGCCAGTTTAGAAAAGGGAGACACGCTGAGTAGCCTACCGAAAAGGCACCTGGGCAACAGTGGCCCCTCCCCATCATTTGGAAGGGGCTTTTTGTGGGAGAGCGGAAGGAGAGCAGCACGACTGTCGATAATTTCAAACGCATCCGCTCATAACTCATGAATAAAATAACCAGAAGGAACAGGTGGTTCATCGAGGAAGCCTTTGCCCTTGGGAAGTTTTTCTTTGGCAATCTAGAAATCCCTAAACATCTTAATTCTCCCTTTCCCCTCTGAGTTGTATATTTCCTGAGTCTGCTCTGAATGCACCCTGTGATCTTGTTAGCTAAATCGAAACTCTCAAAGGTTTTCTGCCTACAGAGCAGCGGCGTTCCCCACACAGAGCAAAGAGGGAGCCCTTGGACCGTACGGCGCCACGGAGGTCCGTCCCGCGCTTTTGACACGCTCCTTGCCGACGGAACGAGGCGCTCGCTCTGGAGGCGAATGACTCCTCTGCGCGCCGTTCTGCAGGCCAAAAGGGCTCCGGCTTCGGGGTCTGCCTGCCGCCGGGACAGCGGGATGGCCTCTCCCGAGCCGGCCCCGCTCCCGCAGGCAGGCCGCCTCTCCCCCCCCCACCCCCGGGACTCACCTGCTTGTTCATGAAGCAGTAGATGATGGGGTTGTAGACGCAGGCGCTCTTGGAGAAGAAGGCCGGGATGGTGACCAGGCGCAGGTCCAGGCCGTGGTCGCGGTTGTTCACCATGTACATGGCCAGGGCCGCATAGGGCACGTAGCAGAGGCAGAAGGAGCCGACCATCACCACCACCATGCGCGACACCTCCCGCTCGGCCTTCTGCGTCGTGGCCGACTCCTGCTGCTGGGCGGCGACCTGCAGGGCAGGGAAACGACCGGCGGGGAGTCTCTTGCGGCGCGCAGGCGGGAGCGCCGGCTTCGTGCCACGCACGGCAGCGCCCGGCCGGATCCGGCCGAGGGCCCGTCTCGGCCGCATGCTGCTCGCACAGTGCTTGGCCAGCCGTCCTGGGCAGCCCGACAGCAGGCGCTCGGGGTGGCAGTGTTCTCCCCGGCAGCTCCCGCACACGAGCACGCTGCCCGTTCCTGGAGCTAGTCCTGAGCCAGCAGGACTAGGAGCCACTGGTAGCTTTATTTATTTATTCATTCATTTAAAACTTTTCTGTAAGTTTTATAGAGGTGTCCCCCCGCGCATGCCCCCAGACATGTGGCATTAGAGTCTGTCGCTGCTCGGCACACATGTCTTATGCGCTCTGCTGCCACTCAGACCAATGGCCGCCACACGTCCAGGGGCAGCAAACGCGTTCGATGAGGTGCCAGGTGGGAAGAGTCGCCGCGAGACCCCTTCGTGCGACTCAGCTCCACGGGACGGCCCCAAGCTCGCATGCAGCGGTCCCTTCCCACTCCAGGCATCCTGTTGCCTCCAGCGTCAAACTCCCACTCTCGCTCGCTCGCTCGCTCGCTCTCTGAATGAAGACGCCCCAGAGCTTGTAACCGCTCCTCCCTGGGGGCCGCTTTGGCCCCAGGACCCTTTCGGCCACCACCTGCTGCCCCCTTTCCCACTCCTCGGGCGGAAGCTTCTAGAATTGCCGCCTCTTGCAAAGAGGCACTGCACGGGGTCGTGGAACGAATGCCACAAGTGATCAATATTGAAAAATGCCGCACACGCTTCCGGGGTTCCGCGCTGAGATCAGCCGCTCGGCAGGACCAGCTGTCTGTGCAGTAAAATTGCAGCCGGCCTCGCCTGAGTCGCAGTGGCTGCTGCGAAGCGCTTTGCCTCTGATTGACGTCCCGGGCGGCTGACCAGGCGCGTTGATGCTGGCTTGTCAGCCCCGCAGTCCTCATGGGTGGGTATTTGCGTTTTAGGTACAGGCTGACGTTTATTACTCTTAGCATTATCCGCCAGCACCACTGCAGTTGCGCGGCCCTGCTCTGCCGTCGTTCCCTGCCCCAAGGACCATACAACGGGTGGTACTTACAGCCCGCAGGGCGCCCAGGAGCTGTGAGTAGGAGAAGACGATGAGGGTGAGCGGCACGATGAAGCAGAAGATGAAGAGGAACCAGGTGTAGTACTCGCTCTTGTACTTGGTGCCCACCGTGTACCAGTCGGGGCCGCAGGAGCACTGCAGGCCTTCGGGGATGAACCTGAGGGAGGGGGGCCGTCAGCGGTGGGCCCGGGGGCGCTGCCACAGGGAAGGGCTCCCACCACCCCGACTGAAAGCCGCCACGCGACTTCCTTCCTGGGATTTGTACCAGTACTGGAAGCAGCGCAAGCGCCAGCACCTGGAATGACCACCGACGGGTCCCTCAAAGGGGGGAAAGTCTCGCGTAACGTACGCATGTGCTACTTCATGTGCACAGATGGCGGATTTTGGGGCAATCGCTGCCAACCGACCGAATGGAAATGCAACGCCTCTCGTCCCAGTGTGAAGGGCGGCAACCCGGGGAGCCTGCTCACTTGCAGGCTCAGGCACCTGCTGCGGACGGCCAGCGGCCCTGCCGGCTCCTTATTCCCACCCCACCGGTGCGGGTGTCCAAGGACAGGCTGGATGTGCGCACGGCGGGCATGTCGTGAGCGGAGCCGGCTGGAGCCGGGGGTCAGACTAGATGGCCCGGGAGACCCCTTCTGGCTCGCCCTGTTTCTATGTTTCTATGTTACCCTGGAATTGGTCAGGACGGCCCTTCAAGCCAAGGACACTTTTAAGTAGGGGACAGTCCTCTGCAAAAGAGGCTACCTGGCCACCTGCCCAGATAGGGAGGCCCCGTCCCAGTGCACTCCGCCCCTGCACGGGTGGTGGCGTTGGTGCATTCCGGCCCATGCTAGGAAAAAATCTGAATCAATGTCAAGGTTTTGGGGGGTTTTTTTAGGGGAAAAGGCTTGGCAAACCAGAGCCCTGCAAAACTCCAGAGGCTCCACCCTTCTCGGTGACCTTCAGCTGGTCCTGATCCAAGCTTTCTGTTCCTCCGCTGCTTTCCCCACTCTTGTTGGGAGGAAAAGGAAACCTCACCTGCTCCACCCAAAGAAGGGTGGGATGGAGACCCCGATCCCGATGACCCAGGTGGCCGCAACCACCAGCAGCGCATGCTTGGCGTTGAAGCGGAAATTTCCGAAGGGCTTGCAGATGACGATGTATCGCTCGAAGGCGAGGAAGGCCAGCGACCACCCGGTGACCAGGCCTGGGGAGGGAGAGACACACAGGTGGCTGGGCTGGGGTTGCGGGAATCCCCCGAGTCCTCTGGTCCCCGCAGGGAATCGGCATCATTTACCCAGCGCTCACCACTGCTGGAACTTCCTGTCCCAAGATGCGGCAACCGTCGCTTTCGGAGATGACGAACGGTTGGATAGAGCGACGGAGGGAAACTGCACCCCCCCAGTGTTGTTGGACTCCCTCAGCCCAGCCAGCACGGTCAGTGGAGAAAGGTTTCGGGAGTCAGGGTCCAACAACATCTCGTGGGGGGCAAAATTCCCCACTCCGAAAAACCGCTTCTTGGCCGCTTGGACCTGGGACGGCTGAAGGGTGTCCCCGTGTTGGAGGCAGCGAGCAGTTCGCCAGATGCCTGCAGGAAGTCCCTCTCCTGTTGGAGAATGCCCCAACGGCATTCTCACCGAAACCTGCCTCCCCGGCCTTCGGCGCCTGCCGAGACCACGGTCGGACAGCCTCCCGTGCAGGAAGCGTGGAGGGTGTCTTGCCCAGGGAGCCAGAGTGCCGGGAGCAGACCGCTGGCGGGGAGAGGGGCCGGTGGTCTGATCCATCAAGGAATTCCACGAGAGACAAGGCCATGTTTGAAATGGATCGTCCTGCGTGGAACGATTCCGGAATGGCCTCCTCCGCCCTGTCAGTCCCCAGGGGACGTTGCCCAAGACACCTGCAGGGACCCAACCGGGGAAGGTGGTTTGGGAAGGGGCTACGGACAGGTGACTCCGGCCGCCGACACTCTCCGTGGCTGGCCTCCTGCCGTGTCCTCCCCACCAGCCCCGCCTGCCCGGCGGCTGCTTGCTTCATCCCCCCTCGCCGCCCACCGGCCTCGGGCGCCTCCCGCTCCCGGCCCACGCCACGCGCTGACCTGCCACCGAGCCTAGGAAGGCCTCCAAGGCACAGACGTGGCGCCCGAAGAAGAAGTAGCCCTGGGAGCTGGCCAGGAAGACGGTGAAGACCGAGAAGACACAGAAGAGGAAGCCGGCGAAGGAGATGTTGACCAGGATGTAGTTGAGTGGCTGCCGAAGCTTCTTGTACTTGACCGTGACGATGAGGATGATGGCGTTGAGCGGCGTGCCGGCAAAGAACACGAAGCCCATGAAGGCCGTCTGGAAGTAGAAGGCCCAGACTGGGGCGATGTGGTACTGGGGGCCATCCCAGGGGCCCACTGAGGAGATGTTCTCAAAGAGGTAGAAGTCCTCTTCTCCGGACATCCTCCTGCTCCCGGGCCTGCCGCGCAAATCCCTCCCGGGGGACCCGACCCTCCTCTTATGGAACGCCTGCGGTGGGGGGAATCCACTTAAGGGCTCAGGCCGGATCAGGCGCTAATCCCGATCCTCTCAGAGGCAAACTTGGGGATTTGTGGGCCTCTAAGATCCTTACCTTCTGGCCCACGCAGCCTGCTAAGAAGTTAATCGTATTTCCTATGCAGGTTAGAGCTGACCAAGAGAGCCTCTTTGGATTGGAGACCCCCCCCCTACAAAGATGACCTGGAGCTAGAGAGAGCTGCCCCGAGGTACCTTCCAGGGAAGCTTCCCTCAAGGATCCTGGGACTGGGAACCCAAAGCTGCCCCTGTCCCCAGGTATATCGGAAACCACATTGCTAGTCCATAGCACCCCTTGAGCTGTGGAACTGCGGAGCCTCATCCAGATCCCCATTCCTGGGGGCCCCCAGAGTGGACCCCCAAAGAGTGGCAGGAGGTGGGTGGCCGGTGGCCTGGCACCGACCATCCTTGCCTTCTTCCTCTTTTCATAAACATCTCACGGTTCAGAGGCAGCTTGCTGGACACCCACCGAGCTGCAGGTGCTCAAATGCTCGCCTTTCCTTTTGCCACGACCGAGCTGTGATTCAAGGTCTCCAGTGTGCAAAGGAGCACATGCTCTTTCCCCAAGCCGGCTGGCAGGCAGCGGGTCTCCTCCTGGGGCCCTGTGCTCTCACACCAGCAGTGCTGGCTGCAGGCCCGAGTCCAGGCGGCTGTGCTTCCCACCGAGGAAGCGGGCAGAGGTGTCGCCTGCATAACCCGGTTCGTTTCTTTGGAGCTGCAGGGGGTGTGACCCTCCCCGGAATGGTGCCGGCTTGCCAGTCCCAGTGAGGAAAGGGTTAAGGGCTCGGCTGCAACACGATGTGCCTGCGGGTGCCAAACCAGTCCTTTGCCTGCCACAAGTAGGGGATGTAATTTGAGCTTGCTGTTTCTGGCCAACTGAAGAAAACATCTGGAAGGAGAATGCAACAGCTGGCTCGTTGGTCTAGGGGTATGATTCTCGCTTAGGGTGCGAGAGGTCCCGGGTTCAAATCCCGGACAAGCCCTGTTTTTTCCTTGTGGAAGCACGCCAGGAAGGAGAACGAGGCAGAGGCAGATGGAGACGGCTTCCACTTCAACATGCATTTCCCAGTTTTGAAAATCCAGGTCTGCAACAGCAGGTCACATGGATCCAAAATTTATCGTATTGCCAGTGGTAAAGATGGATTTTCGGAGACAGGAAATGGCCCTCCTTCCTCTCCTTTTCTTTCTGCCTGACCTGCTGGGCTAGAATTCCTCAGTTGCTTCCCAATTTTGTGTACCTCCGCCAGGATTCTTACAGGCTGCAGCCTCGAACTGGGCAATAATTCCTGCTGAAATTGGTGCGGATGTGCAGAGATTGAATTGGGGGAATCGTGTGGAATTGTGTGATGCCGAGCATGGCTCATTTCAAAGGGGAGGAACACCCTCTCTGCACTCGTGGTACCTGGAGACTTTTTTGATATATTGCAAAATTAGAGAGGGTCCAGAGGAGGGCAACAGAAACGATCCGGGTTTGGAAATGCTGCCCTATGAGGAGGGACTGAGGGAACTGGGCACGTTGGGAAGAGAAGACTGAGGGGGCAGATGAGATCCCTATGTAAGGACCTCAAACGCTGTCCCAAAAAGGAAGGCCAAGATCTCTTCCTGCTGATGCCAGAGTGCAGGACGTGGAATAGTCCATTCAAGCTGCGACAACCCCGATTCAGGCTGGGCGTCAGGAAGAGCTTCCTCACCATCAGAGCAATACAACTGTGGAACCAGCTGCCCGGGGGGGGGGGTGGCTCTCCCTCACTGGAGGCATTCAAGGCGAAACTGGGCAGCCCCCTGAGTGGGATGGTGTGACTTGGTGTCCTGCAACAGCAGGGTTGGACCTGATGACCTTCTTGGCCCCTTCCCACTCTGCTATGAGTCTGGCTCCAAGGAGCTTGCCCAGAAACACTAAATACTGTGGAGCAAGGAAAGCGGAGGCCTTCCATGTGTGCTGGCGCTAACCCGAGCGAGCGCCCTCAGTGCAATCTGTGGGCCAAAATCCCTGGAGGGCTGCAGGATGGTCCCCTCCATATAAAGAGGGAGGGAGGGAGAGAGACTTGGAGGGCCTGGTGGGAAGATCCCCTGCTTGGCGGGAGGAAGGCCCCCAAGTGCCACCTTGGCCTCTTCCCATAGGCCCGGAGAAGTCCTGGCGGCAGCCTTCGAGAGCCAGCCGGTGTTAGCCAGACCGGGAGGGAGGAGCTCGGCGGTGCGCTGGCTAGGGGTGAGGCAGCTTCCAGGGTTTCCCAAAGCACCACGAGGCTCCGCACCATGGGGGCCCGGTGGGCGCTTGGGAGCACATCCTGCCTGGAAGTCCTTTGGAGCTGGGACAATTCCCCCCTCTCCTCCCAGGCCTGGGCATGTTTCGGCTGAAAAGCCTCCTGCAACTCCCACCAAAGGTGCAGGCTGCTGCTCTGATACGCACAGGATCGCACCCGAAAGGGCCTCCTGGCCAGCCAGACGTCCGTGGCTCCCCAGAGGAGCAACTTAATTCACGTGACGGGGCCGCGTGTCGACCGCCTCCTTTTGCTTCCTTCCCCCGTGTTTCTTCACACGTCCTGGACCCACAGGGGAACCTCTCCACGGCGCCAGCATCTCCCTCCCGGGATGCAGGAGGCGTCGAGTGTCTTCGCCTCCACAGCTGCGCACAACGAGCGTGCTGCGGAACGGCAAGGGCTCCGTCACGACCTGCTGCACCGTCAAGGGATGCCGGGGCCGACGGCCGGGGCAGAGCACCTGTTCCTGCGAGGCAGGCCTAGTGGGAAGAGAGGAAAACCAACGGGAAGGTACCTGCCCAGGGTGGCACCTCACAGTCCAGCCAACCGGTTTTCTCTTCCAACACAGAAGGCAGAGCGAGGGGGGGCCGACATCGCGCACTTGATGGAGGAGCTGCATACGTGGCTGGGGTGCAGGCCGGTCCCCAAATGCCAAACCCCGTACTTGCCCCCACAAACACGACTCAGTTCCAGTGGCACAGAAGGAAATGCGGCAATGCTCTTGGGAATCACAACACGTGTGTGCCCCCCGTACAGCCACCGAGGCAAAAATAAATAAATAAATAAATACTGCACCCAAACTGCCCCCTCCTCATTTTGGGCGTGTGTCTGGAGCTCAGAGGCTGTCCTGGAAGCAAAGATCGGCTGGAGGAAGTTGCGTTGCTTTTTGCTTCGCTACTTGGCTTTGCTTCACTTCGCTTTGCAGCAGGCCCACCCCCAAATTTAAAATGAAAATGACCAGATAAACAGAGGAGGGCTCTGGCGGACACTATCCGAAAGGCCTGTGCACACATTCCACTTTGGAGACCCCAGGAGTAGCCGGTGGGGGTGGGTGGGCCCAAGTTCCGACTCGGGAGAAGAAAGCTGCGGAGGGAAGCGTCATTCACGGGTCTCTGGGGAGAGCAGCTCTTCGCTTCGGCAAGGATCAAGAAGCCCTCCGTTCCAAGGCAGCATGCTGAGCGCTGGCCCCCTGCCTGGACAAAGTCGAGAGCACACGGGTTCAGTCCAGGTTTTGCCTTTTAAGAGGCCGGTTTGGGTTCTTGGTCTGCACTCTGTGGTCCTGCAGGCCACGGAAACAGGCAGATCTCGCCTGCTTGCCACGTGGTCCAGCGTGGAGGAAGCCCGGTCTTCGCTTGCCTGGTTGTCGCTCTGCTTTTACGCATCCGCAAGGAAAGTAATGTGATATCTTCCAGTCTGCAGCCTGGCCGGCCCTTCTCTTGCGCACCGTGCCACAGCCCCTCCAAAGAACATCTGGCAGCCCACAGCTCCAGCTGGCTCGTTGGTCTAGGGGTATGATTCTCGCTTAGGGTGCGAGAGGTCCCGGGTTCAAATCCCGGACGAGCCCTGTGTCTCTTTTGGGCCCCGGGGGTCTGCTAGTGGGGCTGGCCATGGCGTGAAGGGATTTGTTTCTTATCAAAATTTCCAGGGAACATTCCCGGCTGGACAGCTGAGGCTGTGGAAGCCCGGGAGGCTCGGGTTCCCTGACGCAGAGGGGCGTTTGCCGGCTCAGTGGCGAAAGCAGGGTGGGGAGTGCCCCTCTTCTCCAGGGAGGGCTGGGCTTCTCCCGCACGACGTGGTGCCTGGAAGCAGCTGCTCGACACGTGGGCAGAGGACCCCCTAGCGCTGGGCGCGGCAGGACAGTGAACGCTTCATGAACTGCGAAGTCCCCACCTGGACACTGTCCTCACTGCCGGGCTCACCTGGTGGCTGGAGCTGAGCCATTTGGCCTTCACCTTGCAGCCTCGTGTCTGCAATGGGTCTGCTTGTGGAAAACGGTGGGGGCCTACCTTGCAGGGTCCTGGGGAGGGTTTCAGGAACATAACCCTACATGAAACACTCGGGTCATTCAAAAAAGCCTTGGCAAGATTAGCATTGCCTTCCCCAACATGGCGCTCTCCAGGTGTGTCAGACTGCAATGCTCGGCACGCCTGGGCGCTAGGTAGAAAAGGCGGAACAGGACCTTGGTGGTTTTGCTGATCCTGCCACTGAATGAGCAAGGCTGGAGAAAAGCAAGAGGGGAGCCAGCAGCCGCGGCTGGCTGGAGGGCTCAGAGCGCCCCGAGGAGCTGCCTGCCGGACGACCTCTGGCAGGCGCGGACAGGTGGCGCTGCGGGATGCCACGCAGCATGGGCCGCACTGCGAGAGAGCCCCTCTGGGGACCCCGGGGCAACTCCCGGACGGCTGCCAGTTGCTTGCGGAGTCCAGGCTGGCCCTGGCTGCTGCTTCTCCGGAGGCTCAACTTCCCAGGAGGTGCAGCCTGACTTACCTCAAAAATGCCGCGTGCCACAGCCCTGCCAATCCAGGCGGGGCTTTCTTGACGGAACCGACCCACCTCAGGTGTTGGCCTTCCGCTGCTTCTCCGCCTTCGACGTTCCCCAGCGGGATGGTCTTCTCCGGGATGCCTCGCCTT